TTTACATGGAACTAAGCCATAAAGGTAAAACATCTCTATGTGCCAGTAATTAGAGAATAGCGACAATGCAAAATTATAAGGTTATATGTTGCAAATGTAAGAGTCTGAATGACGAGATATGGACATAATTGAATTACTGAGTTGTACGGTTATTCATTAATACGTGCATTTTCTGCTTGCCTCGCCATGTTGGCTTAAACATTAGAAGGATTGCATTTGTCAAAATTTCTTATAGAATGTCTTGTTCCATTGTACCTTGATTTTCCATACTCGTCCTTAAATTCATGGAACAGAATAAATAACGCCTCAAGTTCCCAGCTGCTTATATATCTACGTGAAAGAAGGATAATTAAATGCAAATCGTCTATAGAAGTTGACGTGTCGTTTAGAGTGTTTTTACTCTTAATTTGCACGTTCCCAAACATTTCGTGCTACACATGTAAGAACCGCAAATGCAGCTGTTCACGATTTTCGTGCTTTTGTTTCTCCTCGCTTTGTACGTATCACTTTTGCTATGGCCATGACTAAGCAGTTACAGGAAAATTAATTTACGATGTGAAACCGTTCTGGACATTGGCTGGTGACGATGACATCGACCTTTGTTCCTGTAAACACATTTCATTTATATGTATCGAACTGTTACAATATTTTGGCACACGTACAAGTTATTTTAATTTGGTTCCCTGTGGTGAGCATGAAATAATGTAATCCTAGAACCAGCCTCACAATTTACTTCCGAATAGTTCGTTGTAGAAAATAATATTTCTAATAATATATGTTTCGGGGAATAAATTACAGACGAACCTTAATATTTTAAACGGATTAGGTATAATCCGTGATTTTACCTGTACGTAAAAATTAACTCTAAATAAGAAGCGACCAGAGTTAAATATTTTGTTTTGCTTTGTGTGCACTGAAATGCTTCCCAGTAAAATAAAGACACCAGCTTCAGGTGCGGCACGTTTCTCGTCACTTCCGGCATTATCTTGATGTTCTTGCTTCACCTGGAAATACATACAACTCAAACATCCCGAGAAGTGAGTACAAACAGTCTAGTTTTCCACGTGTTCTTGCACTGAGGTATCGGTGTAGACAGAAAGACACGTTTTATTTAAACGTTTTTAGGTTGGTAATCAAGCGACTGTTTATTTTCCATGGTCTTTCTTGTTAAAATAAATAAGAGCATGACAAACATGGATAGTGATTTTAAGAAGGCGTGGTATTTTCTTACGGTGCTGGGTGTATTCGGAACTTTACGTATGGGAGTATGTGACAAGAATATTAAGAAGCTCGTGTTCCATTGTCAGGAAGTGGAGACAGCCCTCATTTCGTGACTTACGAAGTTTGTCATGTAAAACAGTATGTAGTTATCATGTTATTACACATTAGTCTGAATAGCGCAGTCGGTACAGCGACTGACTACGGGCTGGACGGCTGAGGGTTTAGAGTTTGAATACCGGTAGGGACAAGATTTTCTTCTCATGTCATCCGGGCCGGTTCTGGGGTCCATCCAACATCTTATCCAATGGGTATCGGGGGCACTTTCCCCGGTGTAAAGCAGCCGGGGCGTAAAGTTGACTGCTCACTTCCAACTAGTGCCGAGGTCAAGAATACGTGATTCTATACATCCACTCCTCCATACGTCTTCATGGCGTAGTGCTTATTTAGTTAAGCACAGGGACAACACTACCTTTACTTCTATGTTATTACTCACTTCATGGGCAGACCGAGGTTCGAATGTCGCCCGGTGCTGTGTTTCATGATTTACGTTGTCTATGAAGTTCTCTGAACGTGTAAACGAATATTCGAATGATTGATATGGATCAACCGTTAAGCTGGCACAAGCGTTAATGCATCTGACTTATATTCAGGAGGTGTTTAGTTCGCATCTCGGTTGGGACCCCGGCTGTCCTAACTGAGGTTTTTCGCCGTATCCCTCAGTTCCTGCAGGCAAATTCATGTATATTGCCTCAAAATAGGCCACGACAACTTCGAAATCCTTTCCAATTCACCATTATCAATATTCTAGCGCGTAGACCCGTTAATAGATAGCTACCGAGAAACAAACAGGTTCCCACTGCAACGAATTCGCGCAACAATAGAGGAACTGTTGGAAACTGTGTTTTCTACTTGCTCCGTGCCGAGATGTTATAAGTGAGACAACTGGAATAATAGATGGAGTTATGAGGGAGTCTGTGAAGAGAAGACTTAGTCGGTGCAGTTGAGAGCTAGCGGGCAACGAAGTGAGCGAGGAAGCTGAAGAATCCCACTGTTACAAACTGTTACCAGGGAACGACTGGTGAAGACACAGTAGACTGAAAAGACTTAGCTTGTGCTGTAATGGTTTGTGAAGTCGGGAGATTAGCGATAGCACTACAGTTAATTGTAGTCACTAGTCTTGTGTTAAAGTGGTCGATAAATCCAGTCTACAATCCAAACCCCGGTTATAGCCGCTCTCACTTTCGTGACAATATCATTTTACTATTCATTTTGTATTGTCTGAACTATTCACAGCGTCATTAAATAAATAAATAAAAAGTTCCTATATTTTTTGTGGGGTTTATTATGGCCACAGTTCGGGAACTTAATTGTCACACTGCGTATATAAGAGAAAATACCGTGATCGTGAAAGTATATCGATTTCAAGAATTTTACGTATTTTCGCATTTTCAGCATCCCCCCCCCNCCCCCGACTACAAGAAGTGATATATGGTATGCCTTCCGACTGAGTGAATGAATGGACGGATGTGCGCCTCGCCAGTTCCTGAACGGTTAGATGGATTGTATTCACATTTGGTTCAAGAGTTCATCCACGCTAGGTCCGTGCCCCATGAATCTGAACATTTCAGCTCCAGAAATACGGGCCCTTTAGACTAGTCGCAAAATGTTGATTTCCTCGAAAATGTGTCCAACGAGTTTGATTTAGTTTCGGCAACCTATGAAGACCATGAATAAAGTCGTCTTCTGGGATCTGGCGCCGTGTATTCTTCGGTTTAACCGACGTTTCGGAGGAACATTTCGCCTCCATCTTCAGGGTAGTTGAGTTACATGAGAATAGAGATAGCTGTAGCAGCTACAGCTTGTTTGTTTACTTTCCTTCAATGTTGTTTCTTCCACCTACTTACCTGTAATTTGTATTTGACTTTTAATAAGTTTGTCTATAATGTAATTACTTTCATCTGCACTGTGCTCTGTCTGTAATTGGCCTTGCGGCTGTTGACTCGGCACATAAATAATAAAGAATTGAATTGAATTGAAATGAAAATGATCAGCCTTTTTAATGCGGCAACTTCTCTGACGCTGTTGTATAGCATTTAGGCTATACGTATTCACTCAGGCGCTTGCTATGCTCACGGCTTTACACTAGACGACTCTTTTTACAGGTTAAAGGTGAAAATAAGTGTCCCTGTGCTTAGTTATGTGCCTAGCCACGAAGACTTATCGGGAATAGACCTGTAGTTCCACGCATTTTTATCTTCGGAGCTATATGGAGGAGAGTGGCCACCTTCGAAACCTGACCGCTTTACCTTTGGGAAAGAAGTCCCTGGTACACATTAGATGATGGAAGGCTGGGTAAGCCCAAGAGCCAGCCTCAACGCTGTGGAGAAGAGAAAAATCTCTACCGGGAATGGAACCCCTATTCTTCGGTCGTCTGGCCCGTAGTCTAATAATTTTCTTCTTCTTTTTTTTCCTTGGCACTACAGCCCCAGTGGGCCTAGGCCTACCTCCATGAAACTCTGCATTTCTCTTCGGTTTTACTAGATCTTAGACATACGGTAGGACTCCTTGAGCGAGTGATCAGCTCGTCGCAAGGCCTCTACCTGTAGACAAACGCAGAAAATCGCACACAAACATCCATGCCCTGAGTGGGATTCGAACCCACGATCCCGGCTTCCGAGCGAGCGAAGACAGTGCATGCCTTAGACCGCTCGGTTACCGTGACTGGTGGTCTAATAATTACAGGAAGCTAATTCTTCACTGTTTGATCCTACACAAAATTCAATTACTGCACTTTATGTCATAAGGTTCAGGTTTCGAACCCGCAGTATTATGCTTTTCTAAATCTCTATCTTTACACGTTATCGTGGACTAAGTTGTGTTTTAAACATGATGAACTTAAGCACGGGGATGGTCGTGTGGTTTTAATCGCTTTCAACCAGATCATAATGAAATACACATACCACGATCTCTCCAAAGGAAGGACCTAACAATCGACAATTTCATAAGGAGAGAAGGGAGGATTTAGCATGTCTGTCCTTCGGGCCATATAAATTTTGTTCATAACTGGCAGGAAGAACATGAGTGCCAAAATCGGAAACAGATGTCTGTAAGAGAAGGACGCCTGACGGATATGCTCAAGAACGCATCGGCTACTGCAATTACCTGGGCCGAAAATTATTTTTTTAAATATCTTTAGGGGCATCTACATATAATAAACTCTTGGTATCTGAAACGCCCGGTTTCCCCGCTTGTATATACTCTCTTGAACTTATCTGAATAAATATTTCAGACGAAGAGTACGGCCTTTGGGTTGTAATGCAATGTACTATTTCGAAGGTGACGGTATCCATGTATTTAGTACATCCATATGAAACTCGAACTTAAAATACTTCAGATATATGACCTTATCGCAAAAAAAAATACTTAGGCATGAATGTTAGCATACCGTCTGTAATTCCATCTGCTGAATGTGTCTTAAGTGTATACCTTATGCATGTTTTTGCATTTTTGTTATTTCATCACATATTCGGTCGAAGGATACTGAGATTGCGTTGCTAGCGCTCATGGAGGTAAATGTAAGAACTATAACCACGGTTCCGAAAGGTATCACGGATTACCCTAACCTTAGGTTATCCATGGTTTCCATCGAATAACATTGACTGGCTCGTATGATGAGCCTATGTATACGGATCGACTTTGTCTGCATAAAGAGCAAAGAGCATATACATACATAGCCGTACATAGCGTACATAGTCATCTCTTCTGTAGTGTGCCAGACGTCAGTGGCAGTGGCGCTGTGTTTTCTATGATAGAGGTTAAATTGGCGAGGGAGAATTCTGTCAATAGCGTTAAGCCCCTGACACTTGGAATTATTTTGAACATGGATTGAAAATAGATTCAATTTCAGCTGAGAAATTACACATAATTTACTACTCATGGCTGCTCATAAATCGGGTGGACAAAGTGGTAGGAAGAAAGTGCAGGTAAGGGATTATTTCGAATGATTGTGTGGAACATTTGTAATGTAATTCTGTGGTCACTTTGTGTTATTTATTTTAGTAAACTATGTGAGCAGTTAAGTAAACTAATTAGGAAATAACTTCAGTTTCATTTAATGTGCCCCAAGTCCATTCACAGTGTTATACAGAATAGAACAATTTATTTGGATCCCATACAGGCTCCATAGGCTTACGCCAAGGATCCAGAACGTCGTAACACACAGTATTTGTTTCCAATATAAATGTAAATACATATACAGACGCCTCTAGTAATACAGTCCTAAACCAAAATTGTTATATCAAATAGTAATCTCCATTATTTCTTACAAGTATTTATAATTGATGGTATTTGACAGTAAAAGGAGTGAAGTAGGAGGTACTTTTTAACGCCGTCTTAAACAGCTTTATATAATGGTTGAAACTGTAGATTGTAGGAGAAAAATTATTCAGTAATTTAATTCTAGTACAGTAAACACTTTTCTGATATTTAATGAGGTTTGTGCTTGGCATAGGAAGATTATATCTGTTTCTTGATGTGGGAACTGCCCACAGTGTATTTCTAAACTTGTTCAGAATTCTTCCATGTTACATTTTCAATTTCATTTTTCCCTTAAAAAGATGTTTCAAATAAATTAATTGTTTTCACAGAAAGTGAATATTCCTTTTCCTCTTGTATAGTATAGTTCTGTAAGTAAGTTGTTTAATTATGGCTCCTGTATGTGCTCATAGAATATTTATACGGAACAGGTATCTTTTGTGATACGAGATGAGGTGGAAAGAAGACATAGGGCTGGAGTCAATTCTTTGCAGTATGATGCTCATCTCAACAGGCTTTATTCCGCTGGCAGAGATAGTATTATTCGCATTTGGAATTGTAAAAATATCAAGGAGCCATATACGTTATCCATGGAACATCACACAGATTGGGTCAATGACATTGTTCTTTGCTGTGGAGGGAAAAACTGTGAGTGCATTTAAATATAAGATAAAAATCTGAAACACACACACTGATACTGAGGATGTTAGTTTTCAGACTTTTCTGTTAAGTATTACAGAATTATTTTAAACATAACCAGTAATTATGATGAAAATTTTATTTTCATGGTTACATTGGTAACACAGATTTGTGAAAATAGTGAAGAACATTGGTTAGTAAGTGAGATTCTTCAAATTTTATTAGCCATGCCAAATTTTGAGAGAAATTATGTGCATGAGACATCCTCCAAAGATGGAGGGCACATGCAAAATAGTGAGTAAGCAGTCATGAACAACTGAGAAGGGTAATACTCCAGCTTGATAACCTGACTGAGTATAATTGCAAAGTACTGGAAATAAAAAAAAGGATACCTTGCGTAATGGAAGGTGTTAATAGCAGAACATTATGCAGACCTATTTTTAAAGAATTAAAGATTTTAACTGTTACCTCTTTGTATATCTTTGAGGTGTTGTGCTATTTACAGAAATAATTTATACTCTATGAGAAATTCAGATTTATATGAATATAATACAAGAAGGAAAGATGATTTTCATGTGCCAAATTGTAACACATCAACTTTTAAGAAGAGTGTTATCAATTTGGGTATTAAATTGTATAATAGACTGCCTTTGGAATTAAGAAAATCAGATGGTTCTAAAAGTGTTTTTACTAGATCATCCATTCTGTACATTGTATGAGTTCCTCTTTTTTTTTTNTGCGTCTTCTTAGTTTTTTTTTTTTTTTTTTTTTTTTTTTTTTTTTATCGCTTAGTGGGGGGTGGAGTCCAACTCGGTCCACTCGGCACAGCGGCCATTGTTTGGTCTCTTTTAGCCTGCCCTGGGTAATTATGATGATGGAGAATTTGGTGGAATGAAGATTGGCAAGGGAAACCAAAGTACTTGGAGAAAACCTGCCCCAGCGCCACTTTGTCCACCACAAATCCCACTTGACCAGACCCGGGATCGAACCTGGGTCGCCATGGTGGGAAGCCAGCGACTAACTGCTTGAGCTATGGCGCAGCCCATGAGTTCCTCTTAGAGGGACAGTAGTAAGCATAGCAAAACCACTATTCAGCAATGGAAATAGATAACAAATTTTTGCTTGTAGTATTTTAATGTGATTGGTGATTGACATGGTCACATGTAGGACTCTTGATTTATTGCAATACTCTTAAAATTCTCTTGATGAACTCATAAGGTTGGCTTGCATTTCAATTCACTTATTGTACCTAATTTGATTATTTTTCTGGTTTGTTAGTGTGTTATATTGTAATTATAGGTTAACCATGTCAAGCATGATTATGCATTGTTGACAAATTCTAATACTTTAGGCATTTGGACAAAAGGATTTGAAGAATGACATATTTAATGATGTGACTTGTTCAAGTGTTACTGATGTAGCGATTATGAATGACAAATAAACTGAATGAATGAATGAACAGCTTTTTCACCGTAAAAATCAAGTGAGGGACAGTCATATGGGTTGGAACATGTAGCACACATTAAGATGCACCTGTGTGAAACATATTTATATATTTCACATCTGTGAAGTATAAAAAAGGCTATTTAATGATATGTTTGGTTTGAGTTGGTAAGAAAACCTGAACGGAGATGAAGAGTGTGATCTTCTGAGATATGACAGCATGTAATTCATCGTCAACTGGCTCTAAACAGACTACAAATTGTTATGTCCCAGAAGACAAGGGGACTCTTCATAACCACCACTAAGATCTCAGATTCTACATGAAGTTGAGGTACTCAGTAGCTAAGCAACTGTTAGCTACCCTTTAGAGTTAAATGGTTGGGTTTGAATCAGTTCTAGCAAGTGCAGCATGAATTTTGCGATAAATTAGGCAAAGGTGTCATAGAAAGAAGCTCAAATTCATGATCAGTGTATTGTAAAATTTTTTCCTTAAAATGAATCCCCATTATATACATGCATGTGTCAGTTGTGCATATGTGCATCCAGTATTGCCTGTTCTTGTTTCAGTAATATCGGCAAGCTCGGACACCACGGTGAAGGTATGGAATGCACATAAAGGTTTCTGTATGTCCACCCTGCGCACTCACAAGGATTATGTGAAGGCATTAGCTTATGCCAGAGACAGAGAGCAGGTTGCTTCAGCTGGCCTAGATAGGGCTATCTTCCTGTGGGACGTTAATACCCTCACTGCTCTGACAGCAAGCAACAACACTGTAACCAGTGAGTATTGTCTGTGCTCTTGTTCTATGTCTGTAATGGGGTTATCAAGGCCTGGCTCCAGTCGCACTTAACATGGAAGAAGACTTCTGCCTGATTAAGTCATAGACATCTCTCATCATTTCATCTCAAGTTTGAGCTCTTTCATTTTTATTGTTATTTCAAGATTTTTATACACTCTTATTTTTTTCCCCTTTGGCACTACAGCCCCAGTGGGCCTAGGCCTACCTCCATGAACTCCGTTCACTTCGGTTTTTCTAGATCTTACACATACAGTAGGACTCCTTGGGTGAGTGGTCAGCTCATCACAAGGACTCTACCTGTAGACAAACAGAAAAACGCACACAAACATCCATGCCCTGAGTGGGATTCGAACCCACGATCCCAGCTTCCAAGTGAACGAAGACAGTGCACACCTTAGAGCGCTCGGCTACCATGACCGGCATACACTCTTATACAGCCTGTCTTATTAAGAATTTTTAACACAATATTTCTGTTTCCATTGAGTCTTTACTAAGTGTAAGACAATTTAAACTCAGAGGGGTTTGTTTTTAATTAGTGTTATACTGTATTAACTAAATGGTTCTTTCGTCTGGTTTCTGTAAAGGTGTACTTGGCTATGGCTGCTGATATGTCCCTAAACCTACTCTTTTGCTCACACACACAAGCAAAATACTTCAAGAACAAAAAATATGAAGAGACTCTCCACTCTGCGTTTCCCCCTCCATTGAACGTCATTGGCCATGGTCAGTGCTTGTATGAGTGAACACTGAACACCACATGTCAGTAGTAGCAGGATTGGTGATCATTTGTAATTCACCAGTCACTGTTGTATTTACACTGTCCAGACAAACACAGTTCATTACCATAGCATTCTGACCTCAAGAGGTAGCAGTGTGGAGAGTCAGGTAATCATTGGTGTCATGTCCAAGTGCAGATCACAAGAAGAGCAGTGGATTGTGCTGACTGACCAGCTGGCTCCTCCCATTATTCCCTATGCATTTCATACTTGGAGATCGCCTCTGGCTCTAGTGGTCAGAGTTCCTGGCTACAGATCCAGAAGTCCAGGTTTGATTCCCAGCGTTACGGGATTTTCTGAGAAGTAGTGGGTCTGGAATGGGGTCCATTCAGCCTCATGAAGATAATTGAGGAGCTACTTGAATGGAAAAGTGGCGGCTCTGGTCTAGAAAACCGATGTTAACGGCCATGGGAATCCGTTGCACTAACCATGCAACACCCTCTATCTATAAAAGTTGGCACTAGCTTCACCGACAAGTGGCAGTCACTTTGTCAGTATAGTTCGCTTGTGGGCTAAGGTCACGGAGTTTGTTTTTGTTTCATGCTTGAACAGGACACCACTGACTGATTCACCCACTGTTCGCGCTGCTGTATGCACTGAGGCAGCTGATGGCTCAATGCTTGTATAAATTTGGTGTGTGAATACGACACTCATCACATCAATCGCTCATGATGAAGGCAGAGACAGTCGTGGAAAAATTGAATACTAACTTAAGTTGACACAGCTTATTGCCCAAGAAGACTTCACTGTGTATTGTAGAATGGGTTACTTTTATTCCATAATCTTAACATTTCATGCCATGTTTTTTTAAATATCTACTTACAAGGTATTAAGCCATACTGCAAGATGTGAGTGGATTTTGTTAAGTGGCTGTAAGTTCTGTTTCTGGACTCATTTATAGGATGTCAAAGCTTGAATAGAATCTGATTTTCAAAGTATTATAATATTTATCTTTTTCAGCATCATCCTTAAATGGAAATAAAGATTCTATCTATAGCTTAGCAATGAATCCATCTGGTACAGCAATTGTAAGTGGAAGCACAGAGAAGGTTCTGAGGGTGTGGGACCCACGGACATGTGCTAAACTCATGAAACTTAAAGGTAAATGTGATGATATTCTCATTTTACATGTAGCAGATTATCATGCATTAGCAGCTGAAAGTACTGATGTTTTTAATATTCATAATAACTGATTATTCCATTGTGCATATCAGAGCTTGGTTTAGTGAGACACTGTTGTAACATGTTCCCAAAACACAGGTCACGCTGATAATGTTAAGGCCCTGGTACTGAATCGTGATGGCACACAATGTCTGTCTGGTAGCTCTGATGGTTTCATCAAACTGTGGTCACTTGGCCAGCAGCGTTGCATTACAACAATACGGGTCCATGATGAGGGTGTGTGGGCACTTCTGGTATGTTTCTAAGTTTAAATACCCAGTTTCCGCATAGTTATGTCTGCAGATTAACAGTACTTGTTTTTTGAATCGAGTAAGATGTCCTACTATGGTACATGTTAAAATGAAGCATATATGTCCAGCATTTTGTAGTACTTTTTGACATGTTCTCCAATTATGGCTTTCTGGATACCCAGCTTTAGTTCATATGTGGCCCTGAATTTCAGAAGTTTTCAGTGCTGTGCTGTCAGTTTTGTAGGATGATTTGTTATTTTCACTTTCTGAGTTACAGGCATTACGCAGCATCAGTTGAGAATAATATGTGCCAACACAGTTGTTCTAGATACAATAAAGTGACATACACTGTACTAGAGCCACTGTGTGGGGACGTACATACTGATGGGGCACATAAAAATAAAATAACAACAATAACACCACACCGATGTTCACAGGGCTAAACAAAACAACACAAAAAATATGGACACCGCAAGAAGAAGGTAGCACAAGAAAAGATAAGAGGTCTTAAGCAAATGTATTTTAATGTGAATGATGAAAGTGCAATAAGATTGGAATATTTTAACTTAAGAAATAATGCAATGTAGCAATTTCAAAAAATGAACGGTTGCCTGAAGATGACCAAGTAAGGCCAAAATATGTAGCAGTTTAATTTTAATATCATTTTAAATTAAGTAGAAATTGTAAACAAAGTTGCATTAAAGATGGAAGTAACTATGTAAAGGACACATTATACTGTTGGCTTAAGAATGGATCAGAGTAGTACTGAATGTAATGATGTCATTTGGACTGTAATTGACATTTGCCTGGGTATCTAGAAAGTAACATGGAGCATGCATTGAAGTGCACTGAGAAATTCTGAAACTTGTGAGAGTCGTTGTAGTGTTAAGTGAATATTGTTGTCTTTGGCTGTTCTGAAAACATGAGACTGTTAGACATCCAGAATTGTTCTTGGAAATTCCTGTGTTACCAGCATGCAAGATTATTTGAATTTGAGTTTTAATTCTCTGCGAGTTGATAAATTATTTTAATTGTCTACCTCATTATGATATTTACAATGTTTCAGACAACAGAGAGTTTCAGTCACGTGATCTCTGGGGGTCGGGACCGTAAAATATTCATGACAGATCTGCGAATCCCAGAACGTCCGGTACTGATATGTGAAGAGACCGCGCCAATTTTGAAAATGGTGATGACTCCAGACCAAGGGTCCCTGTGGGTTGCAACATCAGAATCTTGTATCAAGAACTGGGTTAGTTATGATTGTGTTACTGAGTAGATGTCAAATTTGTTGGCATTACTTTGCATGTATTTCTTGTCAGATCAGTTGTAGGTGAAAGGTAAAAGGTGAAGTTGTCGCTGTGCTTAACTAATTAAGCAGTGTGCCATGAAGGCGTATGGTGAAGTANCGCTATCAGCCCCGTTTTGCCAGTGAGGTCGGTCCTCTAGGGCAGTGGTGCCCAATACTTCCCCATCTGCTGGAGGAATTGGAAACTACTTGGGTGGGAAACTTTGACTAATTTTGCCCAGAGGTCTCCTAGAGACATGAGGATCTTTTATGTACCGTAAATCTATGACACAGGACACACGGCTTAAAGTCCCTCCCGGAGGACTTGTTCCCTGAATTTTTCCACCCTTAAAAATTC